ATAGACATTGGTCCACAGACTGGGGTTTGCTAGCCTGGCCTGGCAGTATGAGGAGAGAAGTAACATTTATAGGACACCTAGTGTGTGCTGATCCCTAAGAGCTTAAGATTCAACCATTCATTTATTTATTTTATTGGTCATTTGGTCTAAATTCCACCTGTAAAGATAAGCATATGGTCCCATTTCACAGACGTGGAGCCTGGCTTGTTGAAGATACTACCACTCAGACTCACCTGCTCTGGATCAAGACGCTTGCTTCTGCCTTCATGGCCACTAGACATCCAGGAAATGGGAGGAGGCATCATCAGCCATTGTTTAAAAGATAGGGAAACTGAGGTACACAGAAGAGAACCAGTTTCCTTGATGATGGGACTGTGGCCAAGCCACTGTTCTTCAACGACCTCTTTCTCCCTTCCCCAGCCCCTGACTCCCTCCCAACCCTGTGTGAGGTCAAGAGAGGTCATGTCAGGAAGGGTTTTGAAGTGCCCAGAAGCAGTGTCTCTGGTCCTCCCGGGGGGGGGATGAAGAGAGGAGCCCTGCTCTGGGTTCCATGTCCTCTCATGGGGAAGTTCTCAGACAGGGTCATCTAGGGACAGGCACACCATGGGCTTGCCCCAAAGCTTTGGGGGCAGTGTCCTACTTGTGGGCCTATCTAGGACAGAGGGGTGAGTGAGTAAAGTGGCGCCTCCCCCTGCCACCTGTCATGCTGGCTGACTGCTCCTTTGTCCGGGGTCCAGTTTTCCAAGAAGGTTGACATTGAGGCTTCTGAAGTCCCTAGGACGACCCTCAAGCCCTTAAAATAGAGTCACATACTGCACAAGAATCTGTCAGAACGCAAATCCATCCTGGTGACAGCGATGAGCCCTTAGGGACTGGGCAGGGTACCAGAGACCTGGCTCTAGGCCCTGGCTATCTGTCTAGCAGGCTGTGTGGTCTGGACAAGGTTCCTTGCCTCTGCTTCCCTGTTAATAAAAACTGCTATGGGGAAACACCAGCATAGTGACTCCCGAGGGGGCTTTGGGATCCAAGCAAAGTGCAGAGGCAGCAAGACCAGCTTGTCCTGGCCAGGGCAACAGATGGGTGGAGTGCCCACTGTGGGGTGGGGATCTTTTGGAGGGAAATACTTAAAGATCCATGAGCGGTTTTGCTTACAGCTTGCTCAGTCTTGACCAAGATTTAATATTTGCATAGGTAAATTCCATTATTATCTCTCCCAATCCCCCCTTCACAACTGCAAGGGAGCTGTACCCCAATTTACAGATTAGGAAACTGAGGCTAGGAAGTAGGAATAATCTGTTCAAGGGCTCACAAGCTCTAAGGGGCTAACCCAGGTTTCCAAAGCAAACATCCCCCCTCCGATGTTTTTCTAGAAAGTTCTGGGCTGGAGAATTCATTCTCAGGGATGCTGGGCTTTCTACACCCTCTTGAGGGCCCATGGGAGGTGTTCAAAGTTCCTTGGGATGGGAACCTGTTCCCATAGGACTCTGGGGACGGTGAGGCCAGGGTGTGGCCAGCAGTGGGTGGGTGGTGGCTGTTGTTGGCTGGCTGGGCAGGGCAGGACAGGGCGGGGCAGGGCACTGGTGAGCAGGGTGACCAGGTCAGCCCGACCTGGAATAATAGAGCAGGGGCAAGTGAGGAAGGTGGAGGCAGAGGTGGGGAGGTTCCTGGGTGCATAAGAGCCCTCAGCGAGGGAGGCCAAGGTGGCTGCCTTTGCACAGCCACGCTCAGCAGCTTCTAGAAGACACGTTCTTTACCTCTTCCCAGCAGATCATCTCTGGAGAGCCTGCTCAGACCTGCCTTCCCCACAAAGCACGGTAGCAACTCCCTGGGGCGGAAAGTGTCTCTGCTGAGAGCAAGACAGGAGTTTAATTAAGCCCTAAACACGCACAGTTGAGCCTGAAATTAGGGTGGTGAAGGGAGGGGGAGAAGGCAGCTGAGGACAGGGTGGAGGGGCTTCAACTCAGCCCTGCCCAGCCGAACAAAACAACCCCGAAAGCCTGGTTACAAAGCATTTCTGATCTCCAAAGGGTGTGGAGGGGTGCTGGGTTGCCTGTCTCTCTCAGTCGTGGGCAGGTTATCAAGGTTAGAGAGAGTGGGAAACCAGTAAGCCAAGAGGGGTCTCCTCCAAAAGAAGCTTCCAAGGAAGGAGGGAGCTGTGGTTGACACCAGGCAGCAGCAGCGGCCCTCCCCACCCTGAGGGAGGAGGAGGGGAGGACGCCCATGGCGCGCTAGGCCCTGGATAATCCAGTCAGACTGCACACACAGGTGTGCCCAGGTTGGGACTCCTGCCCAGAGCATCCATCTTTCAGGTGGGCAAAGCTCCTTCTGTGTCCCCAGGAGGAAGGGAACACCCAGCCAGGCTCCTGGCTTCAGGGACAAAGTTACAAGACCTGCTTTGCCAACAGCTACTGACATTTGGGTCATCCGTAGTCTTGAGAAACCTGATGGCTTCGCCCCTCTTGGTCCTGTCCTGAGGTCTCCCAGATCTCCCCAAGCTGCAGCTGAGACATTCAAACCACAGCCTCCTCCTTTGCCTGGTAATTGATCCTCCTTTGCCCTGCAACTTGGGTTTGGTCTTAATTTGCCAGGGACTAAAGGCAAGAGAAGACAGGCGGCCAGGCATGTCATCGCTTGTCTCCGGGCAGAGAGGCTGTTGTGACAGACTCCTTCGTGCATGCAGCAAAATGCTGGGGACCGGCTAGTGTGCACAGAGAAGTTATCTCTGGGCTGATTTCTGTCGCTGAGGCAAAGTCCCAGGACAAATCGAAGTCCCAGCCATGGTGTGAAATTTAGCAATCCCTTGGTGTCAGCTAAGCCAGACCAGGCTGCTCTCCTGGTCTATCTTCTTACCCAGTGCTGAAGGCCACCTGCCTGCCAGGCCACTTCGTGGAGATAGCCCAATACCCTAAGGCCCAGAAGTGGCGTATGTGTCCTTTAAGAGACTAATTTTGAAAGCAGCCAGCTTGCTCTTCCTGTCTTGTGTCTAGCACTCATGGCTTCCTCTTTTCTGGGACACATAGGAAATCCTACAGCTTCCTCGTCGCTGCATCGCCAGTCTCCTTAAGGAGTGTCGGCAGTGTGCTGGTATTGGGAGGACCACAACCATCACACAGTGTAGCCTCTCTTCCGTCCTCTATACGTCTCCCCTTGCCAGCACCCCTTGTCCAGAGCCAAGGAGTGTGTTTTGTGGCTCTGGGAGCCACCTTTATCCACTGGCCCTAGTTTTGACCTTTAGAACACAGGGTCTTTTCCTTGTTTCTCAAGCTCTTGGAGATGTTGCCAGAATCCTTTGGCTAGTGGCTGCAGCTGTCTCTTATTTTCACACTGCATGTGTAACCACTCACTGTCCTGGGTCTTATAGGGACACTAGCCTTGAATGTAGGGTTCACTCAGACATGCACTCATTTCAAGAACCTTTATATGGAGATTCGTTTCTCCATAAGGTAGTCACCAGTTCTGGGGACTTGACTGTGCTCACATCCTTGAGGAGGACATCAATTTGACCTGTCTCAGCGCCCACTGATCAGTCAACCGTGGCTTGGAATCCTCTATGGGAGGGAAGCTCACTACTCAACCAGGTGTTGCAAATGCAGCCAAAGTAGTCGGTTGAGAGTTCTTGCTTAGTCGGAGTTGAAACGACTCTGACACAGCAGGAACCTCCTGGCCTTTAGAACATGTGTGTGTAAATAAGTCAGCTCTCAATTCCCACATCTTCTGCTTCCAATCACAATGAAAAAACAAAGTCAGGAAAAGGATGAGGCAGCATTGTATTTTTATGGTCTTTCCGTATAACCCATGCTGGCCCCAGACCCTCAACCCTCCTACCTTGGTCTTCTGTCTTGAGGTGCGGAGATTACAGACACGCACCACCATTCCCATTAGGCTTATTTTTTCCTCATTCCTATTGGCACACCCACCCACCCATGAGGAACAGAGTAGAACATTCAAGAATGGGCTGTCTCCCTCTGCCACACAGGCATTACAGGTGGAACCCAGGCTGTCCATTTTGGCGGCCGGTGCCTTTAAATGTTGAACCATTTTGCTGCTCACCACCTTTGTCTATTACGTTGTTTTTTTTTTTTTTAATCAGTTTTGATGTTACAGAAAGAGTACCAATCCCGGGCTCCCTGCTAGCTCTGTCCCTAGGACTCCCCTGCCTTGGTTTTCTTTCCATGACACCAGAGGGCAGCTGAGTCGCTGCTTCGTGGGATGTTTTTGAATCACACAACCTAGAGGTTGTCAAATCCCACTGGAATATTTAAGGCTTTGAGAAGTTTTGAGCAAAGAAACTATTCACATTGAATTTTCCAAACTTACTAGAAAACAAAACAAAGGAGAGTTGTTTTTATCAGCTGCCATCCTCCTTTAGAACCAGGCAAAGCTTCCTCAACACGATAAGGAAATGCCAACCTGAGAGATTCCAGGGGCCTTTTCAAGCTTTCACAGTCAGACGGGTATAGCTCATAGGCTTCTGTTCTCTCCCTCAGCACAGCCTGTGTGTCCTGCTGGAGGAAAGGAACCCTCACTGGTGAGACTCGAGAGTCTAGGGGTTACAGGTTCCTCATGAACAATGTGGGGTGAACTACAGCCTCCTAGGGCTGAGGCCTCTCCAACCCTTGCCTGCTTCCGAAATCCTTCAGAGAGAAGGAGGGGGAGGAAGGAACTTTTCCTGTGGTCCTGTCCCCGGGGACCCAGACCTCCAGCGCAAGTCAGCAACGCTGCCTGTCCACTCTCCTTCCGTAGACCACAGCCTCTGTGTCTAAGCTCTCTGGAAGCTTTTCAAGGGCAACCTGGAAGGCCCTCACCTACATCCTTTCTTCTTCTTCTTCTTCTTCTTCTTCTTCTTCTTCTTCTTCTTCTTCTTCTTCTTCTTCTTCTTCTTCTTCTTCTTCTTCTTCTTCTTCTTCTTCTTCTTCTTCTTCTTCTTCTTCTTCTTCTTCTTCTTCTTCTTCTTCTTCTTCTTCTTCTTCTTCTTCTTCTTCTTCTTCTTCTTCTTCTTCTTCTTCTTCTTCTTCTTCTTCTTCTTCTTCTTCTTCTTCTTTTCCGGAGAAAATGAAATCTGAATAAATCTCAGAAGTTGGATCTTGTGAAATGGGAGCAGGATGGACAGGAAAGACAGACGGAGGGAGGTGAGAGAGGGGCTTGTCCTGAGGGGAATCGGAGAGGGCTGGGATGAGTCACACGCACAGGCTAGGTGGGGGTAGACACTCCAACCCGTGGCCACAGAGCGAGCTGCAGACCATGAAATGAGAGCTGAACCAGGGAAGCAGCGTGACCCTAAAAGGTCAACAAATCTGTCCCCTCTGACCCCACACACACACCTCCAAGTGAGATTACATCTGGAACACCTGGGCTCTTGCCCTCTGCTCTGTTTAGCCTGAGAGCAGTAATTTTGGAACGCCCATGCTGTGCAATTGCTGCCAAAGCAAGGTTCATTTTGCTTCATTTATTATTTGTTTGTTTATGTTTTTCTGAGACAGAGTTTCACTATGTAGCCCCGGCTGTCCTGGAACTCACCCTATAGACCCGGCTGGCCTCCAACTCACAGAGATCCACCTGCCTCTGCCTCCCGAGTGCTGGAATTGAAGACGTGAGTCATCACCACCAGGCTCACTTCGCTTTTAAATACAGCTTTGTTTGTTGTGTGTCTGCCCATGGGCACCATGTTAGAGACCCCCACAGTCTATCACTTAACTCTTACCACCTCAACATTTTACAGAAGACCGTCGGCAGTGGTATCGAATATGGCATAACATTTTGCCCAAGGCCTATACCATAACTTTCATTGTTAGTTTTCACCTCTGCACATGGTAGTATTGCAGCTCTTCTTAGGTGTGACCCAAACCTTTCTTACCCTCACTTGACCTGGAGGTGACGAAAGCCACCTAAGAAGGGTGAATCGGCTTCGACTTGTCTGGAGAGACATCTTCTATCCTCTGGTCCAGGTGGTAGCCTTCCAGTTCCTCAGGTGAGGAATGTTTGCTTTCTGTTAATGAAAAGAAATAAATGTGATAATAAATAAATGCCCCACCCAGGGCAGTAATCGCTGTCCCTAACAATAAGGCTCTGTGTTTGCTCTCGGCTGTGTTATATTCATTGGCTGTAGGCGCCGTTCAAGGAGCCCCTTGGCACATCAACTGTGGCTGGGATGCCAGGCACACTTAGTGGGAGGCAGTTGGGCCATTCTGTGTGTACTTCCAGGTGTCCCAGCCAGAGTGAGGGAAGCGTGAAGGGCCGTGAACTTGGAAGCAATGTCTGCTGCTGCTCTGCCTCGGCCGCTCTGGGTGACTAGAATCAAGCCATTAGACACTTGTGAGAATTGAAGGCCAATGCTCCCCGCCCAGCACTGGTCTTCAGATCTCATAATAGTTCAATAGTGTGTGAGGGGCTGCTCACACGAGCCCCTGGGTTCTTCCCTCTCTGACACTGCTGAACCTTATAGGCGGGGCTCCTCCTGACCGTGCCCATGCTCACAGTGTCCCCGAGTAATGGAAGGCTCAGTGGTTCAAGCATCCCATGTCTTTCTTGGAAGATGCCTGGGTACGTCTTCCAGACTCTGATTCCCTCCCTGCTTTTCCCACTTCCTCTAGCTGTCCCGTGTATGAAATTTCCAAGTTTACAAGCTATTTTTAGGAATGTTATCCATTTGAGTTCCCCACAGCTTTATGAGATAGGCAGGGGCAGAATGCGATACTGTGAGCATTAATCACATGCCAAGTCCTTCCCAGACTGCTTTGCAACTCTTCCCCACAGCCACAGCCACTTTGGGGAACATGATGGAATATAGATAAATGGACAGAGAACGATCTTTTCAATATGCACATATAATCCTCATAGTGGTTCAAAGATCCTTTATTATATGCTATTTATTTATTTTGAGTGTGTGTGCATTTGTGGGCGTATGCTCAAATAGAGGTCAGAGGACAACCCTCGGAAGCTGGTTTTCTCCCACCCTCTCGGTAGGAATCGAACGCAGGTCATCAGGTTTGGTAGCGTTACTTGCTGAGCTGCCTGGACATTCCGATCTGAGATCTCTGTGTTACTGTCACCACACATCACAAGGGAGGGTAGAGAGGTCCAGGAACTGCCAGGCTTACTTTGCTATAGGGTAGCAGACCAGGGTTCTAACCCACTGCGCTTTGATGGAATCACTAGGCTCTTCTGCATCCTTAGGCAGACATGGGATCAGCACCCCTACACTGTGTGTGTGTGATAGGGGGGGCTGTACAACAATGGGACAAGCATCAACTTATGCAGCAGCCAAGTGGCAGAGAGAAATGCACACCTCAAGATTTTGCCCACAAGCCCAAGGCTGTCTCTAAAAACACCACAGCTATGTCAGAAGCAAAGCCAGTGGAGGCCCCTCCCTCCCTCTCTCCCTCTCTCCCTCCCTCCTTCCCTCCCTCTCTCCCTCCCAACTTCCCTTCCTTTTTTCTTCCTTCCTCCTTTGCTTCCTTCTTTCCAGGACTCTTCCCTCCCCTCAAGAGCTCATGTGTCCCCAACAGGAAATCACACAATGTGCTATTGGTGCAGGCAGCACAGCCTTGGTCCCAGAGACTTGGTGTGCCCCATGGGGCAGTGCGTGTGCCCATTAAGCCACAGCAGCTGGCCCACACCATGGCGGGAGGGAGTGTGCTGATTCTCAGAGGGAATTAGCATGGATTCTGGCAGAACTTGGCTCCCTCCTTGAGTGGCATATGCGGGCTGCCTGGCGGAGTCTAATTAGGCCTGGCACCTTGCATCTGAACTGACCCCCAGACAAATGGAGGGGTCAGTAAACTTAGACTTAGGAGCCCCTTTGCTTTGATCTCGCTGTTGCCCTTCTGTTCTCTGTTCTGCTGCAAGGGTGATTGGCTTGACGTTAGATGCCCATTAATGTGTGTCCCTTGGTCCATGGAAGGTCATTCTCAAAACTGTTTAGAAAACTTAGGGCTAATGTGTACTCTAATTGCACCTTCTTCATACACTGGCCATGGAGGATTCCTCATTACTTTAGCCTCCCAAGCTGGATCTCTGTGTGCAATGGTAGTTTTGGGGTACATTTATTGAAGCATAAGCCATACATAAGGCGCACAAGTTCTGTGCCTAGTGACATGTTTCACAACACACCTATACACATCTTACCCAGTCAGGAAACAGGTGGACCCAAGCCAACATAGAGCCCTTAGGCTCCCCCATTTTGACCCAACCCTGATCCCACACAGCCAACCACACTCTGAAGTCTAACATCTGGATCATAGACTCACTTTGCCTTTAGAACAGAATTTATGGAATGGAATGATATGTAGTATTTTGTGTGTGGATTCTTTTGCTCAGTATTCTATTTGTTAATTAGCTACAGATCTATGTATAGTATAAGACATATACATACAGAATATGTATGCATATAGGAACGTATAGAAATATTTTCCTTCCTTCTTAGCTGAAATGTTTTAAAGCAAACTCAAAAGCAGGGGCCAGGAATGTGGCTCAGTAACATGCACAGAACTTGTTTACCCCTTAGCACAAAACCCCCTCAGATCTTATGCCAGTCACCCCATGTTCTTCAATATGTGTCTTGAAATAATATTACTTTGTATAATGTAGTCCATGTCATTATCTTACCTAACAAAACTGAGAATAATTCTGGGCAGCATCTAATATCCAGTCTGTGTCGATATTTTCTGTGCCGTGTACTGGCAAAGGAGATTCAGACCTACAGTTGAAGCTCTGTTACTTCCCAACCCACCCCTGCTGCTCCTGCCCCCCACCCTCCCTACCTCCCAAGCTGCTTCCTGATGCACTAGCCTTTGCTTTTCAGTCCAACCGATCTGGGTGAGTATCCATGAGAGACTCCCGTGACAGGTGACACGCTCATCAGTCTTCCGAGAGACAGCTGAGTTAGACTCCCATTTTGTTTCTAGATGGCCTTTAGGGACTACCATGCCACCAGAGCCTCTCTCTAAACATGTGCCTCAAACTTTCCATAGCCTTCCGGTCTCTTGCTGAAGTTAAATCTGCTTCCCCCAATACCAGCACTCATTCTAGCCTAACCTTGCTCAGGAAGTCATTCCGAACATGCCTAGCTCTTCTAGAAGGTATCTGGAGACACTTCAGGATCATTCTCTCCCTACTCCACCCACCCCAGACTGTATATTTGAGACTGTGCTTCTGGTATCCATCAGCCTTCTCTGGACCTAGACCCCTCCAAATGCTGTCTGCCCTATATTGTCCCCCAACCTTTAGTTATCCTATCTGATTCCTGAGGCCAAGTTCCTGGCTACACAGGCAGACATGCTCCAACCTTCTGCAATAACCAGAGAACACTGTGTGATGCTGTCCTGCTCATTTTTAAAGCTGAGACGGTTTCTCATCCATGTGCCAAATTCTCCCAAGAGTGACACCATCTTACCTATCTTTGTGTTTCTAGGAATGTCTGGCGAACAGTAACAGTGGGTGCTCCTGATGGGTGAAGTATTCAGGACCCTTGTGAGTGATACTCCCCTCCAAGTGATCTGAGCAGAAAAGGGAGGTTTTTGTCCTAGCATTTACAAGTTCTGGGAGGCACTGGCAGGTGACGGAATACTTACTGTTACTGAACTAACTCCACTCTCTAACCCTCAGGTTTGCTTTGCCCTTAGTGGCCTCGTGATAGATTGCTAATTTTAGAGGGATTTTAGCCAACGTCTTGGGTCTGACTGTCATATAGCAATCTTGGGACTTGGGTCATCCCTGTAGCCATGATACAATCAGTAACTGCAGCATGAGACATTTTGTTAGCCAGGCCTGTGTCCTGTGCCCACGTGTTCACTCTGGAACTTAAGGGTCAGTCGTGGCACACGAGGTGGGTAACTGGAAATTTCCTAAAGGAACATCGAAGCAGTCACCACAGGAAGGAGAGGGACGGTGGACCAGGCAAAGGAAACAGGCTCAGCACAGCTGGAGGGAGTCCTCAGATAGGCTATGGGGGCTTTGGCTCCTAGCATTCCCAAGAGACTCTTGACTTCCCATGGTGTGGCCTTGGATCTATGACTTGCTTTACCTGAACTGTAACTATACTTATTTATGTAGTACGTTTGTGTGCACACATGTCAGAGAACAACTTGTGGAAGTTGCCTTTCTCCTTTTACCAAGTGGGTCCCTGAGATCAAACTCAGGTTGTCCAGTTTGGTGGCAAGCACCTTTTCCTGCTGAGCCCTCTCCATGGCCCTGGAACCTCAGGTTTTTTTGTTTGTTTGTTTGTTTTGTTTTGTTTTTTAATCTGGAAAATAGTGTGTGCTCCTTGGTTTTTGTCAGGTTGTCACAAACTATAGTCACCGGGAAAAGGAAACCTCACATGAGCAATAACCTTTATCAGATTGGCCTGCGGGCTTGTCTTGGGGCATTTTCTTGACAAATGGTTGATATGGGAGGGCCCAGGCCCCTGTGGGAGGTGCTGTCTCTAGGCAGCTGGGCCTGGACTATATAAGAAAAGAAGCCGTGTCCAGAAAGGCAGTTAGCAGCATTCTTCCACGGTTCCCCGCCTTGGCTTCCCTCAATGATGGACCTGTAACCCATACAAACCCTTTCCTCCCAAGTTTCTTTTGGTCATGGTGTTTATTCTAGGAACAGAATAGCAAAACAGAACAAGTAGCCACAATGTGGGTCCCATCTACCCTCTAGGCTATTAAAGGATAAAGTTCTGTTCTGGTGACCAAACTGTGGGTGCAGAATGGCTCATTCGGAATGCTCGATGCTATTCTAAAGAAATAGTTCTTTCTTAAATACACCTTAATGTTTCTTTGAGAAGTCTTAATGGCATATTTTGACAATTATTCACCCATGCAATAGTTCTTAGCCACCATCTATGCCAAGACTCCAGGGCCGGAAGTTAGGACTGGCATTCACCTTGACTGCTTTGCAACTCGGACACTGTGGGCAACTTGCCTGATCCTGATCCACTTTCCTTGGTGCTGAGTGGGCACAGTAAGTGTAACTGCCTTCATGTCGCTGGGAATGTACTAGTGT